TCAGGGAACACATATTCTTGATCGCCGTAAAATTCTCTATCGAATGGTGTCTGAAACATCGAAAAAAAAATTTTTTGCTCGAATTTTGCTTTGCGTGCACCTTACATTATTCCGTTCTTGATTTAAAAGTTAACGATATCAATACCGCCTCGGTATCGGTACCGAAGTACCAATAATCCCCTAATCATTACCTCTACATCTAAACTGCGCTCGCGAATGCAATCAAGATCAATTCTACATTTAGGGCCCAAAAAAGTATGGTCGTTTTTGTTTCGTTCAATATTGTTACATTATGATTTATTGATTTATTTCTCATTCTTTGATATCATACAGAACATACGATTTTGGGCCCTCAGTGTACTATGCCGATATTTAATATAAGAAACAGTAATATTCGTACTTTCAAGACTAACGTTTTCATCTTCTAGCATTCTACTGTCATATTCTGAACGTGCATACTGATCTTCAGTTTTATAAATGTTTCGAATATCAGTTTCAGAATGTCTCGCTGAATCGTGATCAAATTTAAATCGTTGATTGGAATTTATTTCATTAGTTTGCGAAAATAAAAATGTTGCCAAAAGTTCAAACTTATCTGGGATCCTAGAAACTATAGGAAGCATCCTTATAAAAACTTCATCACCAAGTTTTACATCTCTCTTCGAGAATAAATAAGATAAAAAATACGAAAAACTTTCTTTTTATTAAAATCATTGTTTTTCTCTATATCTAATGCTATTTTTTACAGAGAAATAAAACAGCTAATGTCAAATGGTTTATTAATGCAGTCACTAAACAAATTTTTAATACTGGACGAATGATTATAGGGAGAATTTCAGCCTTCCTCATATTGTTTTTTCAAAAAAACTAGTGACTAACTTTCGATATTGACATTCTTTAAAAGACTTCTCTGAAAATAAAAAAGAACTTTCTAAATTCTTATAATCTTTCGGATCAATCGATAATAACTCAATTTCTTTAACTTCATTTCTTGAATTATAATAATTCAAAATTCTTTTATTAGAATAGTTTCTAATACAAGAAGATAATAATTTACTTTCTTCGTCCAGGCATAATCCACATGATTTATTAATACGGTCATTAAAAACTAAGTAAAAATTGAACTGATAATTAACAAATTTTTTTAAGAAACAGTAAGAAAGATTTTTGTTATGTATATAAGTTTAGATTAAAAAGTCCGATTCAGAATTATTTAATAAAAGATAAAGTAGTCGAAACAAAATAGTATGAGTATTACGATGATGAGTGTTCAATCCACGTGTTACAATACTAAACATAACTTCCTCAGATCCGGCATAATGTGACCAAGATTTTTCTAAATCGGGACATTCATTATCAAAAACTTTTAGAATAATATTGAATTCATTATTTGTATATTGGCAGTTGTGCCAACAAGTTTTAAGTATTTCGACACGGATTTCATAACCATTCGTTTCAGTAAATAAATCTTTGTCCAACGTGACAGTTTTAAAATAGAGTAGTACAAGATATAAACTTTCTGTTCTTGTTTCGGAATTAAGACATTTTAAATTTTCATCGATTTTATATGAAAAATAATGGTTCATCATAACGCTAAAATATTATATAATACAATCGTTTTACTCATCGTCATTCAATATTACACCGATAATCACTGATGATCATGATACAAAACCAGAAGTAGAATTATCAAATACTCATCAAATATTATTTCATCAGTACTGCAATACAATTTGGAACTTAGATTAGCGTTATGATGAAACATTATGTTTTGAATGTCCAGAAGATCAATATCAATGTTTGAATAGTCAATGCATACCAACTGAATGGTTATGTACAAATGAATGGGATTGTTCAGATGAGGAACGTTTTATTCCAATTACAGATTTTTCTAAACATAATTTAATATTCAATATAAATTTTAAAGAAATTAAATTAAAATGTAATCCTAGCCAAAACCAATTAGAGAATTATGTAATTCGATTGAAAAATATCCAGGTCTATCAATAAATACAACATTGAATACAATTTATGATTTTATAAACGATAAAGGAACTTATATAAATTTAACACAAATTGTCGATGGACATGAGGATTGTTATGATGGGTTAGACGAAAGAACTTTACTTTCTTGTAGTCCGATGACAATGCTTGGCTTCAATTATGAATGTAGAAATAGTGGAATATGTATATCGTATGATAGACAATGTGATGATCATTGTAATTCAAATTATACGAATGATGATAATTTTTTTTATAAATTAGAATCGATCTATCAATTTTGTCTAGAATTATTAAGTTCGACAGAACGTTCTAATACTCATCCAGATAAAAATTGCTTCCTTGGGGCTGATGAATATTATTGTAATACTGATCCAACGCCTAATCATCCCTATCGTTATTATGCAAACCAATTTATGCGTAAATATATACTGACGATTCATTTGCTCATTTATCCGTTATTAACGAAGAGTACCACAGAAGAAAAAGAAAATACTACTACTAAATCATTTTCAACTAAAGTTACAAATATAGTTCAATCAATGACAGATTTATTTCAAACAAGTTTATTGTTTAAGAAAAATAAGATACTTGTGCAAGCATATCAAACGTATGTTAAACAAAAATCATTCGAAGGATGGATATGTAATCTGAGTATAGCAGTTTTTATTAAGAATAATCAACAACAATAACAAATTGAATGTTTATGTCCACCACTGTATTATGGTTCAAATTGTCAATACCATAGTAATCGTATAACAGTAATACCTAACTTAGGCTTGTATAATATTATGAACCAAGGGAAAAAAACAAGGGGAGAAAAGCGCATTTCGTGGAGTACCGAAGTACTCGAAGTGCCGTGTAGAGGTGGGACAGTTCCAGTTACCGTTCCCAGTAACTGGAACTGGTGACCAGTTACCGTTCCTAGTAACTGGAACTAGTGACCAGTTACCGTTTTCTTCACAATCAAGATGGAGAAAAGTTTTAACTCATTTATCTTGTTTTTTATACTCTAACGAGCGTATGTAGTTCAGTTCTTACTGACGATACTGCCATGTTTTCCTCTTAAATAATACATATCGATAACCTTTATTTGAACCAT